AGCTGTGAGTTCCTTCACACTAGATACATAATACTTAAAATTTGTTTATGCCTGCTTGCCATTGTATTTGTTATCTGTCTTCTGGTTATATTATTTTATTGTGAATCATGAATAACAATGGGTAATTCAATGCCAGTTCCGTATTTCATACTTAACAACGATATATATTAACCATGATGTCTTGTTTATATTTTAATAGTTGGCTTCTTTAGATATATCCAGTTATTAAGTTTGTGCTGTTCTGTTTGACTTGTTTATATTCTAGGTAATGAAATAAACTATGATTCCTGTTTCTGTTTTTTAATGCAGCTTCCCTGTTATGACCCATTGTTCTTGCATTTATTGAATCCTTTTTATCAAAACAAATCTTCAGAAGTTAGCTTTTAGGAGAAGCTAACACATAGCTATTGCACCCTAAGACAAGAACATTCATAAGGCATCCTTTGTTGTTTGTATGCTTTATGCTTTGTTATTTTACATGCTGTGTTCCATAAAGTATCAATTGACTTGCTGACTCCATAATATGATACAATGGTGTACGTTACCTTTTGTTCTTTCAAGTTTTTACTTAGCTAGACTTTTTGGTTTTTTATTTTTCTTTTCAATAGTGTTTTCTGCACTATTTTGTTAGATATGATGAACTATAGTTTTTCTGCTAATGATTTATTCTCATATATCAGATTGTTGAGGCTAAATTCATGAAATTGCTTGACCACTCAAAGATTCTGTTGAGAAAGCAGTGGCTTTATGGTATTGTTGATGATTTTGTAACAAAGCAACTCCCTCACAATGTAACATGGGGTCTTAGTTTGTTATATGCTCTAGAGCACAAGGGTGACAGAGCTTTGACTTCAACTCAAGGTTAATAATCATCAAAACTCGAGGGGAGTTGGCACAACCACATTATTTCATCTTGAACTACACTAAATATTCTACTTTTATTTTGTACAACAGGAGAGTTGGCACATGCTCTGCGGTTCTTGGCATCTGTTGTGTCACAAAGTTTCATAGCCTTTGGTGACATTCTTGACTTACACAAAAAGTTCCTTGAACTTTCTGGTGGGATTAACCGGATTTTTGAGCTTGAGGAGCTTCTTCGTGTATCTCAAAGGGGTATATTTCAGATGGCTATGACTTCATTAATTTTTTCTTTAATTTCTTGGTGAAAGCATTCTTTTCCAGTACTTCATACATAGTAGGGTACAGTGATCATGCATTTCAATAGTAGCATTACAACCTTACAGGGCAATAGATAATCTTCTAGTGAGGCTATTCTATGGTATGCCCCTGTTTTCCTTAAAGATCTATTACATTATCCTATGACATGGCTTTTCTTGAGGAGTCTATAAGTGCTGTGAAACAACCTGTCTGATTCGGTTGAATGACAATTTCATGTTCATAACGTTATCAATCAACTGATGATATGCTCACTTTTTGAGCTTTCATTATATCTATTCATGGTAGCTAAGTATTGACTTTCGAACTGTTGTTTCCCTAGATACTTTTGTGCCTTCCGATGCCACTAGTGCAGAAGAAACCATTTCATTTCACGAAGTGGATATTGTAACACCATCGCAGAAACTGTTGGCTAGCAAGCTGTCGTGCAATGTGGTACAAGGGAAAAGCCTTCTTCTGACTGGTATGTGGCCTTTCTTCTGGCAACCTTTGAATACCTTTAATTGAGTAGTAACGGTATGCTGACATTTTTTTTTCTTTTTACCTTGGTTCCTGCAGGCCCCAACGGTAGTGGAAAGAGCTCTATTTTCAGAGTTCTGAGAGATTTATGGCCAGTGTGTTCTGGGAGAGTTACCAAACCTTCAGATGGGATGTTTCATGTTCCTCAGCGTCCATATACCAGCTTGGGTACTCTGAGAGATCAGATCATATACCCTCTCTCAAGGGAGGAAGCAGAGATGAAGATTTGTTCGTTATACAATGATGGTAGGTGTCACTTACCTATTGGAATATCTGGTGTTGAATAAATAACAACTGTATATTTCAACCTTGTATTGTTCTATTTACAATGATACGGAAACTCAACGGCAATCCAGGTAACGGGTCTAGTGCTTCTAATCTGCTGGATGATCACCTGAAGACAATTCTAGTGAATGTTCGGTTGGTCTATCTTCTAGAAAGAGAAGGATGGGACTCAACTTCAAACTGGGAAGATGTTTTATCGTTGGGAGAACAGCAGAGGCTTGGGATGGTCAGTGTAAACTCTGTTTCAGTCTGTTAATTGCGATGACCAGTTGCCGCTTAAATCCCTTTTTATTGAAGTTGGAGCTGCTGTTTTCTTGCAGGCCCGTTTGTTTTTCCACCATCCTAAATTTGGTATTCTTGACGAATGCACGAAGTATGTGCTGAGCCATGACTTTGATTGACATTTCTTCTCTTTATTTGCTGATAAATTAGTGCGGTTCCTAAAAGATACTTCATTGCAGTGCTACAAGCGTTGATGTTGAAGAGCATTTGTACAAGCTAGCAACTAGCATGGGCATCACTGTGATTACTTCCTCGCAAGTAAGTATTGACATGATTCTTGTGATAATGACCTGCTGTGATCATCATGATTGTTGGTAGCAAACATTAGTCCACTGTAGCACTGAAGCTTGTCCATCCTGAATGAATGGCTGAATCTATGCTAGCTACCAGACACCTTAGCTTTTAGTGTTGCTGAATCCTTACCCTGTTGTTTGCAGAGGCCAGCTTTGATCCCCTTCCATTCCTTGGAGCTGAAACTCATCGACGGAGAAGGAAACTGGGAGCTATGCGAGATCCACCAATGATTTGTCTGACCGGTTCGCATTTCTCGGCATTCGGCTTCCCAGTCCCAGCTGCTGGCCTGCTGCTGCTTGTTGATGTCAGGCTGTCTAGAAGTGTGTACAATTGCAAAGCAGCTGTTGTGAGTGAAAAGTACAGGTTTTCAGTCTCATTGTCTTTGAAGAAAGAAAAAAAAAAGACCTTGTCGACAATTTGGCGTAGAACATGGCATTTGTAGTTTAGTTCATACGGAGGTAGGTGATGGGAGTTGCAGGGATGAGCATAGAGAGATGTGGTATTTGTTTTTAAGTAGATAATAAATGATAAGGTGATAGTACAGTACAGATCTTCCGGCATTGTTAATATTAATTCGATAAGTAATAATGTGGCTTCCTTCTTGCTGCCATCAAGTTATGGCATATAATGTATGAAAATATTGCATGTAAATGCCTAGTGATTCTTGAATATTGGGTTTGAAGTTGTATCAGAGTATCAGACTGCTGCTTCTTGTCCCCTTCTTGCAACTGCGTTATCGATTCTTCAAGCTTTGGGTTTGTTTGTCTTTACAATGCTGGTTCCTCATGAATGCCTGTGTAATAAATTATTGCTCTTGGAGATCCGTAATATTTTTGAAAAATGTTTGTAATTGATTATTGTTATGGGAGATTCATAACATTTGTGAAAAATAAAATAAAAGCAAGAATAGTTGCGAAAGGAGGAATTACTGTTCTGGGAGATTCATAACATTTGTGAAAAAGAAAATTAAAGCAAGAATAATAGCAAAAAAGGAAAAAAAATGACAGCTGTGGGATTTGAACCCACGCCCTTTCGGACCAGAGCCTAAATCTGGCGCCTTAGACCACTCGGCCAAACTGTCTTTGCTGGCTTACTGCATATAAGAATTATTTTAAATGGTTTATAAAAAACTGGATTGACTAAAGTTTCTGCATGACAGAAGAACAACAAAAGATGATTTTTACTGTTAAAACACGTTAGAAACTTGAGTGTTTTATAGCCATACTCCTACTCGTATTGTGCAGCCTTTGAATTTGAAGTTCTAATTGAGTTTTCATACGAAGTGAGTATAATTCAACTGATTAGCTTACTTATAATGGAACCTGTCCACCGGGATTTAAGTCCTTGAAAAGAATGCTTGTATTTATTGCTGTTTCTTTTAGTGTTAGGTGATATACCCACAAACAGTGAGGTATCTTTAGTGACTTCGTTAATCTTGACATATGTTGGTCTAGTCTTTTGAAAGTGCCCGTAGGAGTAAGGTGTGTATTCATAGGGGTGAATATGCGTATATTGTGAGCGCATATATTTGTGTATTTCTAAATTAATTTTACATGTTGTTTGTTTCCTACTCCATCTGCCCTACAATGTAAGCATTTTTGAAGTTTTTGATGGAGATTAAAAGAGAACTAAAATTTATGGTTGTGATGATAAAGTAAAAGAATAAATTAAATGTGAGATTTTTGTGATTTTCAAGATGATTAGATGAGAAAGTCCGTGGAGAAGTTGCTAGACAAATTCTATATGCTGTAAGTTGTATTTTAAGGTAAATGGAGTTTCCTATTTAGCTAAAAAATAATTAGATGTTTGAAGTTCAAAAAAGCAAAAATAAAGGTAATTAAAGAAGTTGTCATATTCTGGTACAAATTTTGGGTGTTATTTTGGACCAAAAATTGAATGTTAGAAGTGTTTGAAGTTCAAAAAAGAGGAATGTTTGAAGTTTACTTAAAACCAAATAATTAGATAACTAAAAAATTGATATATCTAAACATCAATGTTGAATTTGGAAAATTTTAAAAAAGACAACTATATAAGGGCCCATCCGGGTTCGAACCGGAGACCTATTGATCTGCAGTCAATTGCTCTACCACTGAGCTATGGACCCAATTGCTGTTAGTACTGATTGTATTTTATTTATACTGTATAGTGCTACTGAGCTATGGACCCAGTTCACTTTTTTTATTTTATAAATTAGATTAGATAATGGTGTGGTGCTTAGAACTATTTGCGTGTCCAGCAAAGCTAATGACAAAAGAAAAGGAAGGCGTTGTTGCTTTAATTGCAAATAACTTTGCGGTACCTTTACGTGTGTACGCAGCTTATTTTTATTTTCCTACCAAACTTGCGTGCTACCGAGACAACTTAGATAGAAGGAAAATTGTTATGCACATAAGTCACATTGATTACAAGAACGATTCTTCTTTCCAATTGGCAACGAACCAAGCTCATTCATATTCACAAGTTGATAAACTCAGCACAATCACGAGGAATCAATAGAATACCTCGTCTTCTTCTGCCAATAAGTTTACCTAGCGGCTATCAACAGTTCAATGAGATAAAAAACGACCGACCAACCTAGTTAAACACTTAAAGCTCTTGCCAGATTGAGGCAGAGAAAACAATCGGTTAACTCTACTTATACCCATTAGGTAGGGTAAACCTACTAACATCATGTCCAAACTCCCCACATATTCACGGCGCAGGATAAAGAACAATTGGTTCGTTTCCTTACTTACATAAAACCCAGCTCAGCAATGTCGTCCAGTGGGATTTCTAAGGCGCCTGAAAGATCAAAGTCTTGTGGTACATCAAGATCATCAGTAAGCCAAGAACTGATATCGTTGCCCTGTTCGCCAAGCCCTTCTGTTCCAGCAAATATATCAAATAATCCAGGCAAATTGGTCAGGGGAGCCTCCGGCAATCGTGAAGCAGCATTCTCAGGATGGTTCCTTGGTTGCTGGGTAATTTTTGCACCCAGAGGAACTGACGGTCGAGGGGGCTCCTGCATTGCCGGTGTTGGAACCGACTCCACAGCTCTATCAAGAACATTTCCAGAAGTCGATAATAGCTGTACTATCTTTTGCTTCGGCTTTGTCTTGTTTTTACGTTCACCACTCCTCCCACTGCCTGATGAATGACGCCCTGACTTCGTACCAGAACCCTTGGCAGATGCATCTCTGCTGTGTTCCCTTTCCCTATCACACTTGTTCCATTTTGTGCCACCTAAAAACGGATAAAGGACAAATTGATTAGTTTATGAAGCACGAGTGGACTTCTAGTACTGCAAATAGCACCTTGTAAATTTTCCCTCATGATTCCCCTAGGGCCCTAACAAGGAGCGTAAGAATTACCATGATTTAAAGTACTTCTGTCTTGCTTTTGATGCTTCAGTCTCTCTACGCCTTAATACCAGAACGAAAGAAGGCATGAAATTATATTTGATTGGGCAGAAAAAAATGCATACTAATCTCTCTTATCAAAGTTGCACATGTATTACCTTCTGTAGATTTTGTGCCGCTGCTTGGCAAGGGCGCAGATAGAACACTCCAAAGGGAAGGCTCACTGAAGCAGCTTTTCTTTGTTTCCTCAAATTTTTGGCACCGCAAGAGAGTACGCTTGGCAAAATCCAAAGCAAGCTGTTTTGCAGCCTTGCTGGCAGACTTACTAGCACCAGCCTTGTGACTAGAACCAGTTCGCCCACCCTACAATTCATAAAGATACAGTCAGTGTCCAAGTCAAACAGTTTTCATCTGCATTACCCTTTCTTTTTGCTGGAACAAAAATATTGCAATTAGAAGGCATCATCAACATGGGTTGACCTCACAAGGATTAATAAAGAAATAAAAAAATATCTATGACTCAACTGATTAACTTTGCATAACTATTAAGGGAACTTGGATTTTAGAAGAACAAGTAGTCCAACATAACATTGAAAAACCAATCATGTAGAGATAAGTTTATACTACCTTAAGTTTTCGGTATGCCCTTTCAACCAATTTATTCATTGCATGTTGCTCCAAGCTCCTGACAGAAAATCTTAATGTTAGCCAGTGAAGCAACTCAATGCACTAAGCCTCTAAGATCTAATCCAAGAACATAAAATCCATACCTCTCCTCGATACTTTTTGTATCTTGAATTGCTTTCTCTAACTTACTTAATTTACATTTCTTTTGCTTCACCTGCAATGGTACCATTTTGATATACATAAATAAGAGGTAAAGTGAAAATCATAAAAGTATTTTAATCTTCCAGAATATAGTAATACATGAACTGATCTCAAAACAGGATAACAAGGATCATCGGCCTTAGCCAGTAGGTTGAATCTAGAAGGTTTACTGGCTTAAATCTAGAAGGTTTACTGGCTTAGAGCCAGTCATTGGAATTTTTTAAATGACTTATTTGAATTATTCCACTTTGCATATATACCCTTTCATCTTATAGTGATCTGGCAGCCTACCTTGTCACCTTGATATATACTATTCCAATCTGGTCAAGCGGCTGTGACGCTACCAGCATTACAAGCAGGAATTAATCAAAGTACGATGGCATTCAAATAACATCTGATAGTTATCCCAGAAAATAATCGATGGCACATTCTCAATCTATATTTTCCCATGCCAATTGATGTCACTTAATGCATAATTTTCATGGCTCCTATACTTCTAGCACATGTTGATACAAGATGGGCAAGCCAACTTCACAAATTGTCCACGTGTTTCAAGAAATATTTTGGAAAAGAAGTCCTTAGAACAAAACAAGTTTCAGTAATATGACAAATATTTTGATGGTTTACATTTTACAAGGATCTAACGCAATCATTGTAAAATAATAGATGAGTATAAGAGTAATAAGGTAAGCATCCAGATATAATTAGAGTTGAGGACATAATACTAGGAGTGGTTGTTGATGTAACCTGATCATGCAGCCTTTTCCTCAACTCTGAAATCATTTTATTGATGTTATTGTCCTCTCCATCATCTAGCTTTGGCTGAAAAGGGTAGTATTTGCAAGATAAGACAAGAATCACAATAGGAATTTACTAGGTAATTACATAAACTTCAACATCCTGTGAAAAGATTTTACAAAGAATGCAACAGAAAATGACATTAGTCACCAGAAATAAATAACACTTGTGCACTAAATACAATCCTATAGATTCTTTTTCATGGATAACTAACAGAGTATAGTGACTGCATACTGTGACTACCAATGTTTAGGCTTAACTGATAAAGAACTGAATATCATTCAGAAATCATCAGTGTTGATGGCTACTTTACAAGATTCCTTAAACTATGACAAATAACAACCATATAGCACAGCTTCCCACTTTAACCTTTATCTTGCTCATGATGAGATTCACACTGTCCGACAAAAAATAATTCTATGCATAAACCACATAAGGAAGGATGGCAGGGTAAATAGATGCAACATTAAAGAAAGAGAAAAACTATAATCACCATCAAAGTTGCTAAAATTTTGTCAATTACAAAGTTGCTACTTTTAAATTTTAACAAGTTTCCTGAAATTTTGGCATACAGACTTAAAAGAACTGCAGAAAGCAGAACTGAAGTATTGCGATGCAGATACTTTCCCCAGAAATGCAGAGTTTTAAGTAACCATACCACTGCCTCCGGGAAAATGCCAATACTTTGAAGCTCGATGAAAATCTTATCATTCACAGACATCTGTCCATATTGGTATTCATGTGGAGATGAAGAGAAGTTTTTTCCTGGCTTTTGACGTAGTGAAGAAGTCTGCGGTATCAAGTTATCAAAAGGGCCATTTTCAGGGTATACGAAATTGACTTCATCAGACAAATTATCATTATGGACTGAACTTTGACTACTTGAACTGATGAAACTGCTGGAAGATGTGAACCCATTGCTCAGGCTTTGATGTACAACCGAAGAATTGTTTGAGTTCATGAAATCAACACTCAATCCAAAATTAGATGATATGGCACTAGCCTGAAGTTCATTTCCTAAGAATCTGCTTGCAGCGCAAGGAACATGGCTATTAGAAAATTCAAAAAGTATATCCCTTTGTACAACATTGGGTTCCGAGATGTCCTCTTCCATAACTATAGCTGAAAGGAGTCTGTGTTCCATTGGGACCATCTCATGAAACCATTTGTCAGCTTCTATCTTTTGTGGTACATGGTGTTGGTTTTCCTCACTAGGAGAAAAACAGTCAATAGTTCCTTTTAATCCAACTCCATTGGTTTCGCTTTGCTCAGGTAAGATAGACGAATTAGATGGAACTAGCTCCTGACATGAAAACTCCTGCAGATTTTTGGGACATGCGATGTAAGGATACACACTCCATGAGAGATGAATTGCATGAAAGGAGGGAAAGATTTCCCTCTCTTCAAATAGCTAATGGCACAAAAAGTAACATACCGTCGTTTGCTGCCTGCTGTAATTGGTGGGTGCTAAAACATATTCACCATCAGGCACGCAAGACATGCCCAAATCAAGCTCTTCAACAATGTCAATCTGTCCACAAACTCTCAATAAGTGAGAATCCATCCCAATCCAACAAGGAAATAAGTAGTCAATCATCATGACACATCAGAAGCATACTGGGTACCAACCTGTTTTTTTAAGAAAGACAAATTTTCAGAGCTTATGAAAGTTAGCATGGGTTCCATTTTCTTCCAAAATGGGCCACAATATGCACCAACTGCACAAAAAAAAGGGAATAAGAAAGGTATAAAGTGTCAATCCAAAGAGATGCTGACAAAGTTCATCAGGCAAAAATCAGATAAGACTGTATACACACCAATAGCGCCGCGAGCAGCATTTACAGCAGCTAAAAGTTCTTCTCGGTCATCTGTGTGTTCACCTGCATTGCACCACTAGTTAGTAAGATATATAAGCTAATGCCAAAATTTAATGTAAACGGCCAAAGTACATAGATAAGCGTTTCAGAAAATCTTTAGATGTCTAGACTCACAATTAAGAGCCTGAGGGAAACATGACAAATTGTTTTGATCAGAACCTTTCTTCATTGTGGGACGCCCCACCTTACTGTACAGACGTTTAAAGAATCAAATCAGTTCTACATCGAAAGTAAAATGCAGCAAGTTGCCAACCCTTACCAAAAGGAAGCATGAGTACCTTTCATTCTTTTCAGATCCAGGTCGCCCACCTTTGTTTGGCTTTCTTGTCTCTGCAGCATCTAATTTTTCTTTCGATATGGAAGAGGAAGAGTACTCTTTAACATGCATAGTACCTCTGCCACTCCTCCCTTGACGACGGACACCACCATCTTGAAGCTCTTCTTTCAAAGGAATCGTATTTTTGTTTGATGAAACTATTGATCCTGCTGAATTACGGACTAGATTTGCAGCCTCGTTCTCCACCTCACCATTGTTTGTAGCTTTCTCCTTGACCTTGCGTTCTTTAACAGCTGATCCCTCACTTTCTGACAATCCAACAGGAGAAGGGATATCATTCATTGTGTTTGCCATTTGTGTATTGCTACTAGTTCCCTTTTTTGTAAGCACAACACCGCAGGACTCTGTAGATGTTGGTTTAGCAGCAATAGCTGTATCAAGTGGTGATCCTTCAGATAGGACTTCATCAAAATTTGAGACCGGAGAAACAACGTTTGCTCGTCTTGTCCGTGACATTTTCTGTGGACGTTGACCGACCCAAGCAATAGGAGGTGAAGAAGCATTTGAATGTATGGAACGTTTGCGGTTTGTCATGCCTCCCAAAAGTGATGCTTTATTTGAGTATGGTATTTCTTCCCATTCGTCGCTTCCTCCAGTTGAACGTTGGAAACTAGAAGCTGAACCCATGCCGTGTGAACCGGTTCTCGGTGCCCTGCATGCTTTAGCCTTGGGCAAAGGACTGATGCTTCCAGTTTGCATATCTTCAGAAGCTTGTGCTCTATACATGTAGAGTTAGCAGATCATTAGAACAATGATAGCATTGTACTGCTCATTCACACATATATAAAAAACAATAATTGTAAACTATGAGGAGAGGAATTCTATGGGTATACGCCAGAATGAAGTAATGAACTGTGCTTACCTGTTTCCTTTTACCATACCCCGCTCCTTTTCAATTCCAACATACCGCTCTCTTCTTTCATTTGGCAGAGTGGCATGATCCATATCTGTCTTGCATAGAATACGGGATGAGTTGCTATTCTGCTGAGAACTTCCATCCATCCTGCTACCTGCATATTCTACGGCAGATGCTCCATGTCTGCAATGTAAGGATAAAGAAGGGTGAGTAGAGACAATAAGCTGGAACAGATCAAATAACCACATATAGTTCTGGAAGAGGATTAAAAGTGGAAACATAAACAGCATATATTCAATTGCAGCTTAATACAATCTACATGGGCCAAACAAAATAAACAGCAGATCAGCCCAAGGTAGAGGTCAAAAATAAAATCTCAAAACCAGTCTTCTGATGAGGGGCATATATATAGTAATAGAACCAATGTTTGACTTAACAATGTAGTGCATGTCAGCCCCGTTCCCTATTCAATTCAGTGTACTACCGCTCAATTAGTAGAGAACTCATTCACCTAATTATTTGTGAGTAATTTCCAGACTATTGAGCTTAAGTTTGGTATTCAATTAGACTAATCGCCTGAGAGAAAGTTGAACATGGCTGGTCTGTCACAAAAAAAAAAACTTATGTCCATATTGAAGGAACAAGAATAATGGTAAGCACACTGACATGATTACCTATGTGAAGGACCATCACTAGGTCGTGGGTTTGCTTCATTGGCTGGTCTGTGTTGACCCCCGGATTTAACATCTCGATCAGCATCATTGCCTCTGTTAAGCACTGTTCCAATGGAGCGCTTGCGTTTCAATTTTTTCTCCCAACCTTCACCTCCAGTAGATAAACCCTGTAATTTGTCTTCGGACAGCCCAGATGTTCGTCCACAACTTTTTTCCTTCTCCACAAGTGAGCTTTTCTCATTATTAACTAAAGGGCTTTGCCTTGTAGAAATATTACTGCGTCCTTCCAACTGAAATATGCACATATAATGAAATAAGTTCTGAAAAATGGCAAATCGTGTCACAGGGAATATGGATACATGGAAATAATCTATTATAGAAGTTGTATAAAATGCAGAAGACAACAAGTGTCTTTTAGAACTTGAGGTTTTAGATGTCTTCTGGCACTGAAATGTGCTGGGCCACAGTAATTAAAAATATCAGATATATTTGTTCAGTCAGTGCCAGGAACCCATTATTCACAGACCAAGCCTACCCTTAGGAAACTAGCAAGTTTGCGGTTTGGTTCAAGTTTGAGGACTGTGTGTGAATTATGTAATGATTAAATTAGTCAGAGAGATTCAAGGTCTGATAGCAAATATAGGTTATTCAGTGGTGAATTAAAGCACAATCACCGCCTGCACACCCTTGTACTGTATGGTCTTCTGGGATAACTGTGTGGTTTATTATGCAATCATCCCATCATTCAATATCTCAACTAATAAAGTTAACTGGAATTTAAATGATTTCCACCACTAAATAACCAAGAATAATGGTAGGGCAGTGCAGATGGCACGAAGCCAGGGACTAGCAGTTCAGCACTTTAGCAGAACAAAAGGTACTACATGTTTAAGCTACACATTATAAGGAAGATCAGGACTGTAAAGACTACCATAGTGAACTCAACCTATACATTACATCTAATATTGTTGCAAATTGAAAACAATACGTTGAGGCCATAAGTGAGTAAAGACATTCAGGATTATCAAACCAAACCAATGTTGACACCCCACATTTCAAACTCCAAGGGGAATCAATACAAGATAGGGCTGTTGGTTCTGGTTTCCATCCAACCCATTTGCACCAACTGCTAACATGCGACGCTCAGGTCACGGAATCGCGCTCGCCAGACATGCAAGTAGTTGATGAGCTTACGGTGGTTTTGAATACCCCCAAACTCACACAGTGACTACGACTACCCCAATGTAATACATGATTTTGATTGGAGCAAGCACAATTAATGTATAGTAGAGTTAAACAGAGATGGCGACGCGAGCAATGGAGAAAGCACACGAACCCGTCCATCCGCCAGCGAGGAGCGGACACGCTTGCTCATGACCGCAGAAGAGTTGCTGTTCTGGGCTCCAATCCTGAGTGCACCGGAACCAGAGGGCTTTTCAGCCCCAGCAGCAGCAGCAGCAGCAGGCTCACTCCTCTGGCGCTTCCGATTGAGCACGTTCCTGCACCTGTCCACCTTCTGCACCGCCTCCTGCATTGACCTCACCTTCTCCCTACTCGACTCGATGCAACACCACCACAAATTAAAATCGAGTCGAATTAACTGACACTGTGTACACTGTGTCTGGCAAAATTGAGGAATTGAGAGGGGATTGCAATGTGGAGGAGGGTTTGGAGTACCTGGCCTTGGAGGAGGAGTCGGCTACGCTGGAGCGGATCCGCCTGAGCTCTTGGGGCTTGTCGTCCGCCTGGTGCTGGAGCGCCCTCCTGAGCTCGCCGTGGCGCGAGTGCTTGGGCTCCACCCAGCCAAGAGGTTCCAGCGAGAGGTACTGGGCGAAGGGCGCGGCCACGGGAGGAGGAGGAGGAGTGGGCGCCGCTTCGCCGCCCGACCCGGCGCTGGGGTCGCGGAGGGTTCCGGCCATGGGGGGCCGAGACGGCAGCCTCCTAGGGCATGAAATGCGGCGAGCGCGGGCGAAGGACTCCGCGGTTGCCGGAATTAATCGCGCGGAGGCGGAGGCGGAGGCGCTGCGCCGCTCCGGCGAGGGATTCGCCGGCGGGGTCTCGATTGATCTCGCGCGAGGCGAGAGGGGGAGATGGGGGTGGGGTGCAATTGCAATGCAACAACACGAAGAAGAAGAAATCGCACAGAGTCAACTTTCGGCGCCTCCTCGGTCAATGACGGTAGCTTGCGAATTATTACAGCTTTTTTTTTGTTTTTTCCTTTTTCTTTTTCTGAGAGGTGGTAGTAGTAGTAAATTGCTTTTTAAAAATGAATGAATGAATTCTTAACGAAATCAGATTAGCAGAAAGAGGGAATTCTTACAAGCTATTTTTTAAACATGTACGTAAATACATCTCCATTATACAATAAGTACAGCAGTGAGTATTCGTATTCAACACCATCTGTTTTGTTAAAAAATTATGAAAAAATAAAAAATGATAGTCACATTTTATCATCTAATAACAACAAAAATACTAATTATAAAAAAATTTTAAATAAGACGAATTGTCAAACGTCAAACTGTAAAACTGTATTGTTTTCGTACGAAAGGGAGTAGTGCTAGCTGGTAGTACTTGCAAACAAATCAAAATTATTATTCCTCGATATTTCAATTAAATATAATTGTCAATACAACAAATACCTTGGTAGTAGTAGTAGATGTGTTAATTATTCGTATACTGGCGACAGCAAGACAGTTAATTTTGTGTACGTACGTACGTATACGTAATTACGTATTATACATTAATTGTCGCGAGCGAGCGACCGTCTCCTCGTGTGTCTACACGTACTTGGCGTCGGTGACCAAGGAGATGCCGGCGCCGGCGGCGGCGGCCGTGGCAGGTTTGGCAAAGCGAGCGACGGCGCAGTCGGTGGCGAAGAGCCCGGTGGTGAGGAAGTTGGCGGCGCCGCCCATGACGGGCATGTTGGAGGTGACGTTGAGGGTGTTGACGTAGTCGGAGCGGTAGGTCTGGCCGAGCACGCCATGGACGTCGTCGGTGAGCGCCTCGAACTTGAAGCCGAGGTCGAGGTGGACGAGGCAGTCGTCGTCGGCGACGCCGTAGTTGTGGGCGCGCGACTCCTCCCGCGTGATGGGCACCGCGCTGGCCACGATGCGGAACACGCCCCGGAGCTCCACCACCACGCCATTGGCCGGCGCGGTGCGCGTCACGGACAGCGCCGGGGCTCCCGGCGGCGACCAGCGCGCGCCGTCGTGGCGAGGCAGGTCGACGCGGTCGTCGTCGAAGGTGAGCTCGAGGTGGTCGGCGGCGGGGTCCCAGCGCGCGGCGCGGGCGGCGGCGAGGGCGAGGCGGTGGTGGCGGGCGCCGAAGAGGACGCCGAGCGCCTGGATCCAGGTGAAGTCGCGGGACATGGCGGCGTTGCGCTTGCCGATGAAGTGGGCGTTGACGTGGAGGGCGGCGTCGGAGAGGAGGCAGAAGTCGCGGTCCTTCTTGCCGTGGAAGTAGAAGTTGTTGCCGTCGCCGCCGGTGAAGCGGGGGTCGCCGCAGGAGACGCCCGGGTAGAAGTCGCAGAGGCAGAAGGTCTTGCAGGTGGGGCAGAGGACCAGGCACTTGGTCCGGCACCGGTCGGGGCACGTCGCCATGCACTTGGGCCGCCGCCGCCGGGTGTCCTCGCACGTGAACGCGCTGTTTCGCTTCCCCACTCCTCCCTGCTTCGTCGGAGTGATCACCACCATGCTGCTCGGCTTCGGCGGAGTCGCGGCGGACGCCAACGCCGCCGCGCACACCACCAGCACCGCCGCCGCCGCCGCCATGAACGCCGCCCACCGCGGCGCTGCCATTGAATCTGATTATTGATCGATTCGCGGTACTCTTTCGATCGATCAATCAAGGGGAAAAAAGCTTAATTAATTTGATCAAGTATACTAACAACACTATATATGGTTGGTTATGCTCAATTAGCTAGCTAGTGATCTATCGATATATATATACGACGAATGCAGCAGCTGTGTCTTCTTAATTAAGTGGCTAGCTAGCTTAGCTATAAGGAACAAATTGCTGGGGGGCGTTGACCATGAAATTAATGCGTTCGTGATGGGTCAGCAACGCAGTTGACTACGCCTTCCTTTCTTTCGGTCGTCTACCTAAGGCAGTGAAAGTAATTATAATTAGTAATGCAGTACACTTGCAGGTATAGCTAAGCTAACTATGTGGAGTAGGAGTATATAGTGTAGTGCTCTGCTCTCGATCGGTTGAACGCCTTAATTTCCCTAGCTTAATTAGCACTTATAATTATTTTTTTGCATTGCTTTGGGAGTAAAACAGAATATGATATATAGAAACCGCGTGTTGTCTCATCATGTCATGTGCAGGTAATCTTACTTACTACGTTGCTCACACTAATTTAATTTGTTAATTACCACCCACACTTTCGAGTCTACGACGACGTCGACGTTATTAACTAGCTCATTACGTACGTGTTGCATTGCATGAACAAACACGTACGCCGTAGGCCATCTGCATGGTCAGGTCAACTGCCAGCTCGCATATGTAGATATAGATAGGGACTTATACTCTTAAAAAAAATAGACTAGCTTTTTAAATTAAAAAAAGGTTTTTTTGTTACGTGGAGAAATCCAAGATAAAAAAAGTCCGTTAGGCACCCAATCCTTATGTCATAATAGATCCGAACACTTGCCTCAGATTGACTTCAATATATAATTGCTCCAGTGAATAACTAAAAAAAAATAGAAGGACGGTAGATAGTAAAGAAAAGGACTAATCATAATATCTATCTTTCAAAGGTTCACTAAAAAGTTGGCGGGTCTCTTTGTATGTCTTGTCCGGAAAGAGGAGGACTTAATGATGATTCGTTCGCCGGAACCAGAAGTAAAAATTGTTGTGGATAGGGATCCTGTAAAAACATCTTTTGAGGAATGGGCCAGACCCGGCCATTTCTCAAGAACAATAGCTAAGGGCCCTGATACTACCACTTGGATCTGGAACCTACATGCTGATGCTCACGATTTCGATAGTCATACAGGTGATTTGGAGGAGATCTCTCGAAAAGTCTTTAGTGCTCATTTCGGTCAACTCTCCATTATCTTTCTTTGGTTGAGTGGCATGTACTTCCATGGTGCCCGTTTTTCCAATTATGAAGCATGGCTAAGTGATCCTACTCACATTGGACCCAGTGCTCAGGTAGTTTGGCCAATCGTAGGGCAAGAAATATTGAATGGTGATGTAGGCGGGGGTTTCCGAGGAATCCAAATAACCTCCGGGTTTTTTCAGATTTGGCGAGCATCCGGAATAACTAGTGAATTACAACTCTATTGTACCGCAATCGGTGCATTGATTTTTGCATCGTTAATGCTTTTTGCTGGGTGGTTCCATTATCACAAAGCCGCTCCCAAATTAGCCTGGTTCCAAGACGTAGAATCCATGTTGAATCATCACTTAGCAGGGTTATTAGGACTTGGGTCTCTTTCTTGGGCGGGGCACCAAATCCATGTATCTTTACCGATTAACCAATTTCTTGACGCTGGGGTTGATCCTAAGGAGATACCACTTCCTCATGAATTTATCTTGAATCGCGACCTTTTGGCTCAACTTTATCCTAGTTTTGCCGAAGGAGCAACCCCTTTTTTCACCTTGAATTGGTCCAAATACGCAGAATTTCTTAGTTTTCGCGGAGGGCTAGATCCAATAACCGGCGGTCTATGGTTGAGCGATATTGCGCACCATCATTTAGCTATTGCTATTCTTTTCCTGATCGCAGGTCATATGTATAGGACCAACTGGGGTATTGGTCATGGCCTGAAAGATATTTTGGAGGCTCATAAAGGCCCATTTACAGGACAGGGCCATAAAGGTCTCTATGAAATCCTAACAACGTCATGGCATGCTCAATTATCTCTTAACCTAGCTATGCTAGGCTCTACAACCATTGTTGTAGCTCATCATATGTACTCTATGCCCCCCTATCCATACCTAGCTACTGACTATGGTACACAACTTTCCTTGTTCACACACCACATGTGGATTGGCGGATTTCTAATAGTTGGTGCTGCTGCACATGCAGCCATTTTTATGGTAAGAGACTATGATCCAACGACTCGATACAACGATCTATTAGATCGTGTCCTTAGACACCGTGATGCAATCATATCCCACCTTAACTGGGTATGTATATTTCTAGGTTTTCACAGTTTTGGTTTATACATTCATAATGATACCATGAGTGCTTTAGGTCGTCCCCAAGATATGTTTTCGGATACCGCCATACAATTACAACCGATCTTTGCTCAATGGGTACAAAATCTCCATGCTGGCGCGCCTAGCGTAACAGCTCCTGGTGCAACAACAAGTACCAGCTTAACGTGGGGAGGTGGCGAGTTAGTAGCAGTAGGCGGCAAAGTTGCTTTGTTACCTATTCCATTAGGAACCGCAGATTTTTTAGTCCATCACATTCACGCATTTACAATCCATGTGACTGTATTAATACTTTTGAAAGGTGTTTTATTTGCTCGCAGTTCCCGTTTGATACCCGATAAAGCAAATCTTGGTTTTCGCTTCCCTTGCGATGGGCCTGGGCGAGGGGGAACATGTCAAGTATCCGCCTGGGATCATGTTTTCTTAGGTCTATTCTGGATGTACAATTCCATTTCGGTAGTCATTTTCCATTTCAGTTGGAAAATGCAGTCGGATGTTTGGGGTACTATAAGTGATCAAGGGGTGGTAACTCATATCACAGGGGGAAACTTTGCACAGAGTTCCATTACGATTAATGGGTGGCTCCGAGATTTCTTGTGGGCACAGGCATCCCAAGTAATTCAGTCTTATGGTTCTTCATTATCCGCATATGGTCTTTTTTTCTTAGGTGCTCATTTTGTCTGGGCCTTCAGTTTAATGTTTTTATTCAGCGGCCGTGGTTATTGGCAAGAACTGATTGAATCTATCGTTTGGGCTCATAACAAATTAAAAGTTGCTCCTGCTACTCAGCCTAGAGCCTTGAGCATTATACAAGGACGTGCTGTAGGAGTAACCCATTACCTTCTGGGTGGAATTGCCACAACATGGGCATTCTTCTTAGCGAGAATTATTGCAGTAGGATAGTGGCTAGGAGGATTTGAAAGGCATTATGGAATTAAGATTTCCCAGGTTTAGCCAAGGCTTAGCTCAGGACCCCACTACTCGTCGTATTTGGTTTGGTATTGCTACCGCACATGATTTCGAAAGTCATGATGATATTACTGAGGAACGTCTTTATCAGAACATTTTTGCTTCTCACTTTGGGCAATTAGCAATAATCTTTCTATGGACGTCCGGAAATCTGTTTCATGTCGCTTGGCAAGGAAATTTTGAATCATGGATACAGGATCCTTTACACGTAAGACCTATTGCTCATGCGATTTGGGATCCTCATTTTGGTCAACCCGCTGTGGAAGCCTTTACTCGAGGAGGCGCCGCCGGTCCAGTGAATATCGCCTATTCTGGGGTTTATCAGTGGTGGTATACAATTGGATTACGGACCAATGAAGATCTTTATACAGGAGCTCTTTTTCTATTATTTCTTTCTACCCTATCCTTAATAGGGGGTTGGTTACATCTACAACCCAAATGGAAACCAAGCCTTTCGTGGTTCAAAAACGCGGAATCTCGTCTCAATCATCATTTGTCAGGACTTTTCGGGGTAAGTTCTTTGGCTTGGACAGGACATTTAGTTCATGTCGCTATTCCAGCATCCAGGGGAGAGTACGTTCGATGGAATAATTTCTTAGATGTATTACCCTATCCACAGGGGTTGGGACCCCTTCTGACGGGTCAGTGGAATCTTTATGCCCAAAACCCCGATTCGAGTAATCATTTATTTGGTACCACTCAAGGAGCGGGAACTGCTATTCTAACTCTTCTTGGGGGATTCCATCCACAAACACAAAGTTTGTGGCTGACCGATATTGCTCATCATCATTTAGCTATTGCATTTATTTTTCTCATTGCCGGTCATATGTATCGAACTAACTTCGGAATTGGGCACAGTATCAAAGATCTTTTAGAAGCACATACTCCTCCGGGGGGTCGATTAGGGCGTGGGCATAAGGGCCTTTACGACACAATCAATAATTCGATTCATTTTCAATTAGGTCTTGCTCTAGCTTCTTTAGGGATTATTACTTCCTTAGTAGCTCAACATATGTACTCTTTACCTTCTTATGCATTCATAGCACAAGACTTTACTATGTACGTAACGTGTGCTGTCATGTACGTCTATATATACATAAATACACACCTACACATACATGGGTTGCATATATATACAGTACATAATTGTAGATCGATCGATCGCTTCGTCATCACTGGTCAAAAGCCAGCCTTAATAAAGTGTTTCAAGAAATATTTTGGGGAAAAAAAATCCTTGCACGAGAACGAGTTTCAGGAATAGTTTGATTTTGACTGGTTTGCATTTTACCAGGACCTTATGCAATCAATGTAATTCAACAAGGTAAAAGTCATCCCCTTACCAAATTCCCTCCGCACACCAATGTGATGGTAGTGTATTGCGATTGGATTTTAGTGAAACAAAGTCATTTGTTCCACAATTACTACACCAACCTCAATCTTTAGTGAGAAAAATATTTTTGAAAACAATTACTACAAAAGCAGCTTAATCTTCCGTAGACTTGTCCTGCAAATGTAATTAACCGATCGCCTCATCTTAGACGACGAGAATCGGTGAACTATAACAATTCCCTATCAACATATCTTTCTATTAAGCATGTCGGTGACATGGGACCGGGAGTATCATGACTTAGAGACTTGAGGCAGACACGATCACCCACGTGGCCTAACCCCCTCGGGGGGTCGGGCCCGAGGGTGATACGGCCGCCCTTCTCTTTGTCTCCCCGAGGGGTCGGACCGCTCCCGTTTCGGCCCCGAGGGCTGGGGTGCCCCGACCCCTTGTGGATTTTGCGCCGCGTGTATGGGTTAGGTGAGCGCAGCGGCGCTCACCTAACCGCATTTATTGCGGTTTGGACGAGCGCGTCACGCCGCATGTAACGCAGTGCAGCGCGCTCGTTCATCCGGTCTGTGATCAGTCACAGACCGGTCAAATCGTGGGTTAGGTGGCGACAGGCGGTCTGACGCACGCCTCGCCCCATCCCGTCAGGACGAGAGCCTCCAAGCACTCGTCCCTAGCCGGAGCCGGCGTGTTAGCTCCTGGAGATGGCACGTTGGTTCCGGTCAGATATACGCCAGGCTTCATCCTAACCATTACAGGCAAGATATTGTATGAAGAAGGGCGAACATGCAGATTGTTAAACTGACACGTGGTGGACAAGAATGACCGATTTGTGACCGGTCTGACAATGGTCATGTCGTCAGCAGACAGCCATGTTCCCACGTCGCGCCTGCTTCCGGTGGAAGTGGAGGTAGGTATGGGCCGTCCCATCAGAAGGTCATTCGGACGGCAACCATACAGATCTCCGTCCATTAATGAAGAGAAGTCAAGTTGGAGGGAAGAAAGGATGAGTCCCCACACAAAAGAAAGAGAGGGAGAGATGGTGCATGTGGTATCCCCTTGAGATATAAAAGGAGGACCTTGCCCACTTAGAAAAGGAGAGGGAGGATTTTTAGGAAGAAAAAGAAGAGAACGATCAGGGGCTGGCTGGCACTTTGTAGCTTCTTCATACACAGATCCACCAAAACACAGGAGTAGGGTATTACGCTTCTCAGCGGCCCGAACCTGTATACATCGCCCGTGTCTTGTGCTTTTTCCATTCTCGCGAACCTTCCACACACAGACCAGGAGCTTAGAACCTCACCCAGGGCCCCCGGCCGAACCGGCAAAGGGGGGCCTGCGCGGTCTCCCGGTGAGGAGCCCCACGCTCCGTCATTTGGCGCGCCAGGTAGGGGGCTCTGCGAGTGATCTTCTGAGCTCTCGCACTCTTTCGTGTGCGCCAAGCTTTTCCTGTTCAGCCCAATGGCCGAACAAGCAAAGGCGCACAACCTCTCTCCGAGCGTTAGCGGTGACGATGGGGAGCCAAACCCACGCCGTCGAGCTCGTACTCCACCGCCCCCACCACGCCAAAGTCCTAGGCGGAAGGAGGCGCTCGAGAGGGTCGAAGGATCCGCGACTTCGACATCCACGGGTGATGGGGAAGGGCGGCGAGATGGGGAGCGTCGCCTCCTCGTCTACGGCGACGGCAGCACGCCCCAGGGCGCGCTCCAAGCTACGGGCGCGCTCCTACGTCACCCGCCCATTGTCCCTGACCCGGAGTCTCCAGCCCAACGTTGGCTGGACGACGTGGCCAACTTGGTCATGACGGCACGGCAGCGCCTAGGTGCTGGTGGGCGGTCCTCCGCCACCAAGACCTCTGGCGCTGCTACCACCGGCTCCGTGTCGTCAAGGCGGAGGGCGCGGCGAGCGGCGGCTGTTGCTCGCCATTCGGCCGCCACTCCTTCGTCAGCGCCTCCGACCCAGGAAGATCAGCGTGGGGGGCCAGATGCCCGCATCGATATCGAGCGCCGGCGTAATGGTCGGCATGCTCCCCACGCAACGGAGGGCGCCTCCTCGTCCGGAGTGTCACCTCAACACGGACGCGGGGATCAGCCCTCCGTGCCCCCGGTTGGTGGTGTCGGCTGTAGAGCCTTTGTGGCGAGCCTTCGGAACGTCCGTTGGCCCCCAAGGTTCCGGCCCACCATCGCCGAAAAATATGATGGGAGCGTCAACCCCGCCGAGTTTCTCCAGGTCTACACGACCGGGATCGAAGCCGCCGGGGGTGATGACAGGGTCATGGCGAATTTCTTTCCCATGGCCCTGAAGGGACAGGCGCGGGGTTGGCTAATGAACTTGCCACCCGCGTCGGTCCACTCCTGGGAGGATTTGTGCCAACAGTTCACCATGAACTTTCAAGGCACATATCCGCGCCCAGGTGAAGAAGCGGACCTGCATGCAGTCCAGCGAAGGGATGATGAGTCACTTCGCTCATACATTCAGCGGTTCTGTCAAGTCCGCAACACCATACCATGCATCCCTGCACACGCGGTGATCTACGCGTTCAGGGGGGGTGTACGGCACAACCGCATGCTCGAAAAGATCGCCTCCAAAGAGCCCCAGACTACCGCGGAGCTTTTTCAGCTCGCGGACCGAGTGGCTCGTAAGGAGGAGGCATGGACCTGGAACCCCTCCGGTTCCGGTGTGGCAGCTTCGGCCGCCCCCGGATCCGCTGCTCAGACAGGGCGGCGTGACAGGAGGAGGAAGAAGAGGTCAGCCCATACCGACGACGAGGGTCATGTCCTCGCCGTCGAGGGCGCTTCGCGGGCCACCCGAAAGGGGAGGCCTGCGGGCGACAAAAAGATGGAGGTCGGTGCTCCCAGCAGGGAGCGCCCAACCGGCAAGTGGTGCATCGTCCACAACACTTCCCTTCACGACCTTGCGGACTGCCGCGCAGTCAAAAGTTTGGCTGAGTGGACGAGGAAGTGGGGGGAGGAGAGGAGGCAGGAGCGCCGAGAGGGCAAGTCCCCGGCGGTTCCTTCCGGCAATCGGCGAAGTGAGGCCAAGCAGAAGGCCCCCGCCGAGGACATCGGTGACGGCGATGATGACCTAGGTTTCCAAGAGCCTGGGGCCACCATTGCCACTGTCGATGGGGGAGCGTGTGCTCACGTTTCTCGCCGGAGCCTCAAGGCCATGAAGCGAGAGCTTCTAGCCGTGGCCCCTACTCATGAGGCGACGCGCCGGGCGCGGTGGTCGGAGGTTGCCCTCACCTTCAACCAGACCGACCACCCACCGTGCGTTGCCCGGGGAGGACAGATCGCAATGGTGGTTTCCCCCACTGTTTGCAACGTGAAGCTGGGGCGTGTCCTCATTGATGGAGGAGCAGCCCTCAACATCCTTTCCCCCGCAGCCTTTGACGCCATCAAGGCCCCGGGGATGGTGCTCCGGCCGTCCTAGCCGATTATCGGTGTGACGCCGGGGCACACTTGGCCGCTAGGTCATATCGACCTCCCGGTCACCTTCGGTGGATCCGCCAACTTCCGCACGGAGCGGGTGAACTTTGATGTGGCGGACCTCAGTCTGCCCTACAACGCGGTCTTGGGGAGGCCCGCGTTGGTGAAGTTCATGGCGGCGGTCCACTACGCCTACCTCCAGATGAAGATGCCGGGCCCCGGTGGCCCCATCTCTGTCCATGGCTACCTCAAAGTCGCGCTTGCTTGTATGGAGCAGCGCGCGGACCACCTCGCCGCCGTGTCCAAGCCCGAGGGTGGCGACGAGAGGCTTGGCACATCCGCCCCCGCCGCCCCGAGGCAGCGGATAGTCACATGCGACGAGGTCCTGGTCAAGGAGGTTGCCCTGGGCGACGGCCCGTCCAAGACCACACGGATCGGTGGTCTTCTGGACGGCAAATAGGAAGACGCGCTCGTCTCTTTCCTGCGGGCAAACGCTGACGTCTTCGCATGGAGACCGGCGGATATGCCCGGGGTCCCCAGGGAGGTGATTGAGCACCGTCTCGCCGTGCGGTCGGGCGCAAGGCCGGTCCGGCAGAAAGTACGGCGGCAGGCCCCGGAACGTCAAGCCTTCATCCGCGAGGAGGTGGCGCGACTTCTGGAGGCCGGATTCATCCGCGAGGTCATCCATCCGGAGTGGCTGGCGAACCCGGTGGTCGTTCCCAAGGCGAACGGCAAGCTTCGGATGTGCATCGACTACACCGACCTTAACAAGGCATGTCCTAAGGACCCTTACCCCCTGCCTCGCATAGATCAGATTGTCGACTCCACAGCGGGGTGCGACCTTTTGTGTTTTCTAGATGCATACTCTGGTTACCATCAGATTCGCATGGCTAGGGAGGATGAGGAAAAAACTGCATTCATTACCCCCATAGGAACTTATTGTTATACGACAATGCCCTTCGGGTTAAAGAATGCAGGTCCTACTTTTCAACGTACTACTCGAATTTCTTTGGGTAGCCAAATAGGACGTAATGTTGAGGCTTATGTTGATGACTTGGTGGTAAAGACGCGCAACCAAGAGACCTTACTCTCGGATCTAGCGGAAACTTTTGAGAGTCTCCGCTCCGCCCGCATAAAACTGAACCCCGATAAGTGCGTGTTCGGTGTACCTGCGGGCAAGCTTCTCGGGTTCTTGGTCTCTGCCCGAGGCATCGAGGCCAACCCCGAGAAGATACGAGCTATAGAGCGGATGCGCCCCCCCAGCAAGCTTAGGGATGTGCAATGCGTCACCGGTTGCATGGCCGCCCTAAGTCGGTTCATATCGAGGCTGGGAGAGAAGGCTCTACCCTTATTTAAGCTCCTCAAACGTTCCGGGCCGTTTACTTGGACGGAGGAAGCTGAACGTGCCCTCACTCAGTTGAAGGCGTATCTCAGCTCTCCCCCAGTTCTGGTCGCCCCGGAGCCAAATGAACCCTTGCTACTCTACTTAGCGGCGACCCCGCAAGTGGTTAGTGCGGCGTTGGTTGTGGAGCGCGATGAGGACAATCC